ATTATTCCACATTTTCCATCCTTGCTAACCTAACTGTGACATTTGAAATGAGAAAAATTGAGACAAACATTAAAAAATATTTCATGATGAGTCTCCACTGTTACTTGCATTTAAATAAGGGCTCTGATAATTGTAAAGGGTATATTATTGTCAGATATTGTGTTCTTGTAAATCCAATATTAAGGAGATTAATACATGAGTATATAGATTAAGCTGGTCACTTTCACCTTATGCATATTATTGGTCATCACAAAGATGTCTTAATTGTGAGATATTCAGGAGGGCGTCGAAATGTTTTTAAAAGAAAAATGACCCACCTTGGTACCTGACAAATCCAGAAAAGTGAACTCGATCCAGTTCTAGCCCACTGAAGTCAAGAGGTTGTAATCTCCCACTGGTCGAAACAAAGAAGACAGACAGTGTAGTATACAGGTTCATTGTACCAGGGAAATTCCACTCACTCTTTTGGACAAGAACAATGGACATTGGACCACAGCTTAACATCCCATCCAAAGAACTGTGACCCTTTTGGGTGAGCGACAACAACCAGGATTCAAACTCCCAACCTCTTGGTCCAGAGACAGGGTCGCTAACCACTGGACAACCCACTCAATCCTGCAAGGTAGCAGAGCACAGTTTTCGTCCTATAGCGATTCCTGTAGTTAACTTAAGGACCCCAAACAATACTGCAAAACCTTCACATTTCAAATCATACAGTCTCAAACCCAATACATTTCTGTACCACACAGCACAATTTACATCTGGCTGACGCTCACATGAGGCTTTCTACCCATTCTCCAAGAATATTCGCTGTATCATTTTCTATAGCCCCATCATAGACCCAGGGGGTCACCCATTAATGCTGTGTTCTGCGACCACAAAACAAGGTCACACATGTAGCCAGTGTACCCTGAGTCTTGTTAGCATTATCAGCAACCATCAGGAAAACAAACAGAGCAAATCAAATCACCCAACTGTCACTTTCAACTATCCAGACCACCGGTGATGGATAGCCAACAGGGCAGCAAAATGTTACTAGATGATTTTTTTTATATATATTTTTTTTATCTTGAAGACCATATTAATTTGAAATTCAAGGCTATGTACATTGTATATTCTGCCTGTCAATCTTCCCCCACCCATGTGCTGTCAACCTACTCCATCCGGACAAACAGACACACAAACCCACAGCTCAGCCACCCAAAAAAAGATAGATACAAATAACGGAACACAGTAACCAAAAATGTAGATTGCGAAATAAAACATTAGTTCCACAACCTCGTACCTTTGTCAAATAATGTTGATTTGTACAACATTACTAAGTAATTATATGAATGTTTGTTATTGATTATGATTAAGATTGAAACAGCATGTTTGCCTTTTAGTAATTCAGAAACATCGACTCTTGGGACAAATCAGAACTCAAAGAGAGAGAGGACTGAAAGTGCCACCCAATAAAAGAAGGGTTAAATTGCTTGGGAACAAGGTTGTGAAACATTTCATTGCCAAACTAAATGTCAACAACTTATTTGCATGAAATGATTTTTTACAATACCATCTATGGCAAGTTGACATCATTACTTTATGACCAGTCAATGTACAGATTACTAAAAAAGCAAGCAAGCTGGGTAAGGTAACGGTTGATACATGTATTTCGCTTAAAAACATGATACCTTTAAACACATGGGGAAAATATTCTACATGTAGTTGCTGTACCCTGAAGCACATTAGCCTCTGATAAGAATCATGTCTGGGTTTTCCCATTTAACTAATAATTTTAGAAATCAATTATTGTAATTAAAGGCAGTTTTACCACCTTACGACAAAGCATGTTGATGTAGAGTAATTAAACCTGACACGAGGATGGATAAGAAGCCTTGTACCAACATCGTCAACTGAACTTGAACTGGCGTGGTGAAACATTCCGATTCTACCCCTCGGCTTTGCATACCCTGCCTGCGCCGTACAGAGGGAAAAAAAAGTAGCCATCCGATTCTGCATGGATAGTGTGCGCTCGGCAGATAACTCATAATCAACCTGAACGTGCAATTCTCCCTGAAGGTTACCCGTGATGTAAGCGGGAAAGGTGAAATGGCTTTCCCAAATCTTCATTTTTATGCAGTCAAATCGAATTAGGCATTAGCTCCATTTACACTTCAGATGCTATCGTTTGGGAGAGGGTATCAGATATAATTACAGAAGTGGATTAACCCACCCGCTAATCTCCTAGCTATCACTCCTACCGGGGCCACTCTTGGCTGAAAACCATCTTTCCGTGCTCGCAGAATGTAGTCTGTCCAAAGATTTAACTCATTTCATCATAAACCCACGAAATGCTTCAATGTGCTAAGATTGCCAAGAAAAGTTTGCCAAGATTTTCATATTCAGGAAAGTCTGTACCTTCATTCACCTTTGAACTTGATTGTTAAAAAAATGTCTGTACAAAAAACATTTCAAAAGCAGTTCAAAAGGAAACAACCGTTCCCTGTTCATTTTAACATAATACATGTATTTATCACACTTTTTTTACAGCCGTTTGTATATTTAGAGGGAGAAAGAGAGGGTGGAAAGAGAGAGAGAGGGAGGAAAAGAAGGGAGAAAGGTCTATTACCTGTACTTGAGTCAAGGTGGAACTAAAATACATAAAATACATTACTAGTATATCTGTCAGGAAAATAACAGACCATGTACAGGTTACCTCACATTCATAGTCCTTTTCTTTTACCATAAATAACTGCAATAAAATGAATGTGTACTGATTCAGTTTCATTCATTATGAGGACAGTTATATGTATTGAGCTTTATTTTTTTAGATACAGTTACATTAAATGAAAGTTTATGAACTTGCAAAATATTGATTGAAGCCATAAATAAGATGAGGATTTCACTTGAAATATGAGGAAATCTAATGGATGACAGACTCAGGGAGTCTCTAATTAAATTAGATAGCATCCTATCTTGTCCCTTACTTAAGTAGCTTGTTTGATAGATGAGGCTTAAGGGTGTAGACTTGTATCTACAGGGAACACCCTCCAGGTAATAATTTATTAAACATGGGACAGACATGTACATACCACAAAACATTTTATTAAAGTCCTACTGACAGCAGAGATTTAAGACTGCTTGTCACAGTTTGGTCCCTGTAGATCGAACCGTGACAGAGAGATTCATATGCCAAGGCTATGACATGTATGTATAAGAGTCAGTTAAGTGACCTGGAAGTTCAAGCGGTAACTTTCGTGGTATAAACCCGTCCTGAGACCGTTCTCCGCGCGTCTGTGGACCGCCAGACGCGGCCGCGGCCCGTAACACGGGGTTGCAGGTTCGGTTCAGGTTGGGATGTAATCTGGTTGGCGCTTGATAGGATTGCAAGTGCGATGGAGCCTACAAGTCTCTTCTGGCTGTGACAGGGTCTTGATAAGCCTGGCTCCGCATTCAGAAACACCCAGTATCACATGCACCTAGTCTGCTGGGTCATGACAGCGCGATTCCAGATTAGCCGAAGAAGAGCCGGTCTTACATTGGCTGCTGATCTCATTTTGGGAGATGGCTTCTCCCTTACGCCATTGAATGATGGAAGACCCCAACTTCAGCGCGTCAAGTGTCCCGCCGTCGTGGCCCTTTCTTCTCGGAATATGAGAAATGACTCCGCCACTCATCAGATGGTGACTTTTGGGGTCAAAAAGTATAATTTTGTAGATGCCGGTAGCAGAGCTTTTAAGTCTCGAAATGGCGATAAAATCAGCGGTATACGACGCAGACCAGAATCTTTTAATTGCATGGGAAAATCCCTCCTGCCCAGAGGGAAGACTTAGCCGGATAGTCAGTAGACAACCTGTAACAGGGTCAGCTCAGACTTGATATGCTTAGTGGACAGGACGGTCTGTTGAATCACATATGGGAACTCTATAGCTGAACACTCAGCAGTGTACAAAATGCATTTGGTGCCTAAAGATGTGCATGTATATGAAAAAGTCTGTACTATTCTTTCTTTGGTAGGACAAGCTTATTGCAAATGCAGCCACACAATGGTAAAATTGGAGCTACTACATTTTGTACTTATTTCTCGTGTACCTGCACATAACCTGCACATAAGTCCATGTACTGTACATGTACCATGGGTATATATGAAAGGAAGGCATAGATGTTTTGTGGATTTTCATCAATTGTATTGACTACAGCTGTTACCTCCAATGGAGTGTAAAAAATAATTGCTATGGTTTCTGAACAGGTTTTAGTATAATCCATACTTTCTAAATTCTGATCATGGGTGTTGCAAGCAAAATTGTCTGGTGCAGGTAATTTTCAATGCAGAAAAAAGATTACATGCTGTTTGTTTAAAGGTACATTTTACTGGACAAAGCATTTCACAACTAGAATAGATACATATAAATTTAAACAGGTTCACTGTACCAGAGAAATAGCCGTATCTTTTTTGACAAGTCAGTGAACAATGGAGCACAGCTTGACATCCTGTCCTAAAGACTGCGACCCTTCCTTTAAAGCTACTGCATCCAGGATTTGAACTCTTGATCCAGAGGCGTGCTATAGTTGGCTTATAATATCTATCAAAGATTACATGACATTCTTTTTTTTACAGGTACATTTACCGAAGCATTCAACAACTAATACAGATGCAATGTGCAATTTATACAGGTTCATTGTATCAAAAAATTCCAACAGCTCCTTTTGACAAATACGGTGAAGTATCATGAACTATCATGTATTGTCCTATCCTAATGACTGCAACCCCTTCTTTTCACAGCTACAAATGTACTGCATCCAGGATTCAAACTCATAACCTCTTGACCCAGAGTCATACTACTGTCAGCTATCTATTAAAGGTTTCATGCTGTTTTTTTACAGGTTCATTTACTATTGAAAGCAAGCCTTTCTTTCCACAGCTACAAATGTACTGCATCCGGGATTCAAACTCACAACTTCTTCGTCCAATGGCATGCCAATGTTGGCAATATAATTCCATGCTGTTTTTGTTACAGGTACGTTTACGGAAGCGTTTGACAACAGTGGTTCCCTGCCGGGCTGCCTGCAGATAGAAGAGAAGGATGGGCACGTGTCTCTGACCGCTCGGGATGAACTTCCCGACGGTACAAGATGGGGGCCATACGGCGGCGTGGTCATAGCAGGGGAGGAAAAGGACGAGCAGAAGGGACTCAAGGTTGGTCAAGAAATCTTGAAACGTTTGCCATAGTTGTGTATGATATTTGCTGTTTTTGCGGTGACATCTGATTTGATTTGATTTATTGAAATTGCAACAGTGCAATACACGTGGGACACAGGCAGCCGTTGCTGGTGTTGTGTCCCACACATAGAAACAAATACTCATTTTCACTTGAGTTAAGTGGGGAAAGTCATGTAAAGTGCCTTTCCCAAGGGTAGAAGATCGGTGTCATGTCAGGACTCGAACCCAGGACCTCTTGGTTCTGAGTCGACTACTCTTTAAACCAGAAAAACGTGTCTGTGCCCAGTGGTAGCTATTAGGCTTATGGTACTGTCCTTGGTGCTGATTTTGAACTCCATTGACTGTGCATGTATGTGCTGGTGGATTGTTTCTGTAGATTTCTCCCACATTTACTATATACATTCCCTTATTGTAGCCTTCTTTAGACTGACATAAAAGTAGACTTTCAACTATTCCAACTGAACCATTGCAACATCTTTGTCTTTTTGATTGAAGCTTCTGACATGCTAAATCTTACATTTCCTGTACATGTAGTTGTACTAAATGTATCTTGCATTACTACCTATTTTTTTTTTAAATGTTTAAGTTTGGGCAGAGACTCTTCAAAACATGCTCCTTTCTATGGATAATTTGCACTGTCCTTGGTGCTAAATAATACTTCTTTATACTGTTCTTTGGTGTTGCATTGTTATACACTTTAGAGGACTGTGTACTTTCTAAGTTTCTAAGATAGCTTTCTATACAGTCACATGTTGTTATCCCCAGTTCTATACCAAGCCCAGAGTTTCACTGTCCTTGGTGCTGAACAAGAATTCTTAGCCCTATTCCCTGGTATCAAATTGTTTCTAGTACTTTAGTTTGTTATATAGCTTTCTGTACACATGTTGCTGTCCCTAGTCTTATACCAAGCCCAGAATTTCCCTGTCCTTGGTGCTGAAATGAACATCTATATGGCCTCCTTCAGTCAATATTAACCATGGTAAAATCCTAATTGTTAACACAGTGACTATTACAACTGCTAATGTTGTGTGTTCTCTCAGGTCCCTTGTGAGGATGGAGAAGGCTGTACTGTTGTGCTTGGGGATCCGTCACACTGGTTACTCATGTTAACTCCAGCAAGCAGCTCTGAGGAACACAACACCACCATCTGTACACAGGGTATGTCTCCTTAACATCCTGCAATATCTCTGCATTTTCAAAAGACTGCACTATTTACAAATTTGGTAAAAGGTGGTGGATGGAGAGGGATGGGATTCACCTCCAAATACTGTGCCTTAAACACAGGTTAAACAATGGTGATTCTGCAATGGTCCCAATACTACGATCTGGTGATTCACTACAGAATCCATGAAGAATAGTTGGAGATTAACACTTATGGAGATCCTAATTATTCAATTTAATTAATTAATCATCCTAATACAAACAAAATAAACAAAACCCACTGCCCCTATGAGGTCAAAAAGGCCACCTTTACCTATTTTGTTCCCTATTGTCTCCTAGCTGGCAGTATCTGGTGTGTTGTGACCAGGACGGTCGCCCCCGGTGAGGCTCTCCAGGTTCACGGTCTTCAGGAGGCTGACTTCCCGCAGGAGGAGACTAGCCAGGACGTCACGGATGACCAGGAGCCCGCTGGTTACCATGGCGACTATCAAGAAGATGTTTCCTCACCTGAAGAACAGGTAAGTCTTCTGCTTTTTTAGGCCAAGGAAAAAAATGTTGTGTTTCCTGTTTCAGTCCTGAAGAAATTAGGGTCGGTAGGTAGGGATTTTATTTTTATGGGTTCACCACACCACGAAGTGGTGTGGTGAAACCATATTGCTTTTTCTGATGTTTCTTCTCCTTCTCCTCCTCCTCCTGCCATTTTTTAAATGGATTCAGCTTCTTCATTTTAGGGCCTAAGGTCCTGAAATTTGGTATGGAGGTACAGTGGGCAAATACCCCTAGGCGTTTTTTAAATTATTGTGATACAGGCTTTTAGAATGGTTTTATTTGAGTTTTTTGGCTGTGTAATAGCTAATGTATTACTGTGTAAGTGTGCAGTGTTTACCACATTTGGACATGAGTCATCACAATGGCATGCAAGGCATCAACCAATAGGCATGCAGCTTTCCTCTATTCTCCTTGCTGATTGGCTGTTGGGATTTAACTGGCTTAACTTCATTTACACCTGCACAGAGCCATGCCATACTGACAGTATGTCTGTATTCAAGTGTTTTGGTAGGTATTTTAAGCTTTCCTGCTCCAGCATTGGAATGCGGGCTATGAACGCTTCTTTTTATCTTGAAAATCAACAGTTTGCATTATGCAATCCTAACCAATAATGTAGGGAATAGCTATCCAACTGTTGTAGTCTTAGTTGTATGTTACTTCATACTATAGTTATATCAATGTAAAGCATTGTTTTCCCTTGTGTTTCTCATTCTTTCCCTGCCATGTGGTAAAATGTGGTGAACCCATCGCTATATTTGCTCCAAAGCAAATATTGGCCTTTCTAGTTATTTTATTTTTTTTTAGACTTCAGTGATATTTATATAGGGGCCCAACTTATACAATACAGTTTGACAAAGTAAAACTTGCATGAGGACACTTTTATTTTCAATGTCAATGTTAGAAAACCAATTGTAAAACATTTTATCACTCAGGTGTCAGATCATGGAGCTAGGAAAGGTTGATCAGCTTGAAAAATTATGTCCCTTGCAGCACAACAAAAATGTTCATTTTTTTCTAATAATATTTATGTGTAATTACCAAGTTCAATGTACATGTGCTTAGTTGCCTCTTCAGTTGACATATTATTTATGATGATAAAATGAATTTTTGCTTGGTGCTTTTTGCTTGGCTTTGTTCCAAAGACCTTTGACCCTGTGTACAATGGATCTCTGCTAGCTTATCAAATCAAGCTAATGGGGCACAATTCCAACAAACAGTTGGCAGGTATAATTGTCATGTCTTTACAATGTTTGTTCCTTTCTGAAATGGATTGCTCGTTAAATTTGGCCTGGACATGTCAGATCAGCAGATCTAGACTTAAGAAAAAGACAGTTTGGTAGAATCCTGTACATTTACTTGGAGAATATTGTGGGTTCTTAAAGCAGTGTACAATAGCCAAATTTTTAAGCTAGTGGACACAAGATGGAGATAACTTGGGTTGGATTCCTGGTTAGACATTGTGTCCTCAGGAGAAACACTTTGCTTCCCTCAATCCACGCAGGTGTAAAATGGAAGCCTGACTTCAGTTGGGGAGGTAAAAGGCAGTGAAAGGAGAGGGATGGACTTTGCCTTTCTATACTGTGCTGAAGCACAGTAGATCAACAACTCACTGTCCCTAGGCCCTATGGTCTCAACATGGCTAAGGGACCTTCAAGTACTTCTTCAGTGTAGGACTCAAATGAAACAACTGTCTGCAACCCCAGAGTAGTAGAAGAGAGAGAATCAGTTTTTACCTTTAACCACATCTAGTACGTATTTGTCTTTTGTAACAAGGATGCTAAGAGCTTCAAAGTTGCCAAATCAGAGTCCCAGGACACTCCAGGCTCTACAGACAACCTGGATACAGATGGGATGAAGGGAAGTGACGACAACACAGATGAACCCCCAAACTTACCTCAACATGATGTATGTCTTCTCAACTGTGTACATGTTTATTTATTTACATACAATTGTGCACATGTTTATGCCTTACTCTTTTATTGTACATTCATGCCCTTTTGCGCTAAGTACAGGCATACAGATACATACATACATACATTGACATTAAACCTGTAAATCATGCTAATCATGGATTCTAAAACTATACTCAAATGCATTATAGGTTCAGCTTCTTCTTAATACTATATTAGACTGATCAAAATGCATAATGAGTTTTTTAATACTATGTTGTAAATTCAAGAGGAGCTTTCAAAATTCCTAATATCTTTAATGATAATATAGTTGATGCATACATGTACATGGTGAGATACCAGGTAACAGGTTCTAGAGTAAAGACTAACACAGTATAGCTTGAACCAATTGTTTAAGAGATATCCTTTTCTCATGAATAGAACACCAGTGACGGACCAGACAATGACATGAGTCCAGGAGCTTCACTTCTCCAAGCAGGGTCTTCCTCAGGTGCTATTTCTTCTTTTATGGCTCGTTTTAAAATGTAGGTTTTTCTCAAAGGTGCACTATGTGACACGTTTGCACCAAAAATTGAATATTTCAGTTGAAAAAATCTTCATGGATTAATAATTTACGTCCACGTCAACATGTTTGTGCATTTTTCTCACATTTTTTACATTTAGGCCACACCAATTTAATTTGTTGGTTCTCGGATTCGCCTTTTCGTTTTTTTCTGATTTGCAAAAAAAAAAATTTGATTCTGGTTCTGAATCAACTGAAAAATGCTCATGTTTTGCCCCCAACAGTTGAGGATAGTCCTTTTCTTCCTAGTTGTTACAGTTTTCCCATCTATCATTGCAGTGGTTTGATTAAAAGTTCAAAATTCAATGTTTAGATTTTAACCCAGCCTTTTGTGTTGACTTCATGGCTCAT